AGATCAAGGAGAAAATGATGTTTGAAGAGTTAATATCTTAGAATATTCCAGAACTGACAAACCAATGAATCCACAGATCCAGAAAACACAAAGGAAGATAAAGAGAAATTTGCACACAGAAGGAATCGGTAAATAAAGTTAAAGAGATTATTTTACACATAGACTGATGGCTAACTTTGCCATAGAAATACAGGCAGGGGACAGCTGAATGCCATCTTCAAAGTGCTGAGGAAATGAACTGTTAATACAGGATTGTGTATCTATCAAGAAAAAGGACAAGATAAAGAAATTTCCAGAGAAATAATAAATGAGTGTTCTACCAACAAGCCCTTATTAAAAGGATGTCTAAAGGTTGTTTTAAAAAGAAGAAAGATGATCCCAGAATTAAGGTATATTTGTTTTTTATTAGCTGCTATAACAAACAGCCAGAAACTTTGTGGTTGAGAACAACATAAAATTAGTACCTTTCCTTTCTATGGGTCAGAATTCTGATACACCTCTCACGGGCTGGAATCAGGGTGTCTACAGGGCTGTTGCTTCTTGCCTTTTCTACCTTCTGGTGGCCTCCTCATCCACCTGGGGCCCTTCCCACATCACATCACTGACTCCTCTCATTGCACTCCACCTGAAGGACTCTACAATTCCACTGGGCCATCCAGATGACTCAGGACAAGCCCCCTGTCATAGGGTCAGCTGATTAGCAATCTTCACTTCATCTGTAACCTTAATCCCCCTTTTCCATGTAACCTACCATAGTCACAGGTCTGGGGATTAGGACACAGATGGCTTTGGGGGGCCATTCTTCTGCCTGTCACAGGAGATCTGAAATGTAAGGAAGAATGGTGAGCCAAGAAACCAGCAAACATAGGGAAACCCAAACAAACTTCGTATCAGCTGGAAAAAAATCTAAATGTGGGGTTAGAAAAAGGGCAGAACTAAACTGCCATCAACAAGAACATACAGGCTGACCGGGAGATGAAAGAAGTTAAAAATACTTAGATCCATGCATTTGGGGGTGGGGGTGGGGAGAGAGAAAGTTTGGATATTTATTACCTTTACACAGGTAAAATACTCATGATAAAATTTCAATAGTAACCACTAAAAGGGCAGAAACAGATACGTAACTTCTAAACCAGCAGGGGAGGTGGAATTGGAATAAAAAAATAATAACAATCCCTTTTCCCCCCTCAAAAAAAATAAGGTAAGAGAGGAGAAATAAGAAGCATTGAAAAGGGGCTGAAATAAGAATTAAAAATTTAGGTAGCAAAGCAAGTACCAACATATTAAAGGTTACAAAAAAGTGAACATGGACTAAGCTCCCTAGTTGAGACTGTGTCAAGATGGATTTTAAAATCTGGCTTAAGGCTGTTTGCAAGAAACATGCCAAAAATATTAAGCAGAAAAGTTGAAAGCAAAAGGATGAAAAAACACAGTCGAGCACAAATTAGCAGGGGGCTGGGCCACTCTGTTCCATTAGAGCACAGCTTCTTGACGACAGACAGGAAGGGGGCAGCCAGCATACAGTGACCGAGGATTTAATTCGTCAAATCGATGACACTTCTGAACTTGTATGACTGCAAAAAGCAAAACAAAATACCCTCAAACTTCAACATATATACACTGTGGGAAGAGCCACGTCGGTCAGCTGACGTACACTCACTATGCCCATGTCACATAGAGTGCTGTTGTTACCCCACTTCACAGATGGCAGGCCTTCTCCACAAAGAAAAGGGCTCCACCTGGGCTCTGCTCCCTCCTCCCTGAGCCCACACGTCACCAGGAGGCCTTCTCACCATCCATGGGATGAGGGGTGGTGTGCCTTTCCTGAAGGGCCACCATCACGCTCAAACGTGCTTAGATGGCTTTGGACGGAGGCTCCACTGGTAACAAATGAATTAAGAGGCCCACGGAGGCCCACGCCAGTCACTGTATGCCTACAGGCACACTAGTTCATCCTGGCCTGGCAGTTGTGCCAGCACTCAGACCCCGGGACCTGCTCTGGAGCTCTGTGAGGAGGCCACCGTCCTCCAGGGGATGCAGGCTGGCCTCTTCTCTGTGTCCCCGTCCTCACCCAGCAGTTTCTTCCTGTGCTGGGAGCTTGAGTTCTGGCTTCCATGGCCTGTGACTTTCTCTCCTCAACCCCATCAGGCCCCAGCATATTAACCCCAGAGAGGGCCTCTGGCTAATCACCAAATTAAAGAAGCAGGTCTCGCTGCAAGAGCAAGGCTCTTCCTGTGCCCCACAGCTTGAACTACTAGGTGGAGGTGGGCTCAGGTGCTGGTCGGTTGTGGAGTCCCATGCCCCTTCAGCCTCAGATCCCATGGCTTCAGAGCCAGGCCTCACCTGGCAGGAGGCAGCAGTTGTGCTGGAGAAGGCCAAAATCTGCCCCTTCCCAGCTGTGTGCCTTCAGCATGCTGCCCCTAACCTTGAACCTCTGATTTGTGGGTTGTCACATGCCTGTGGCTATTTACAGGAAGGGAATGTATCTTATAGAAAGGCTCTGCCAGGGTTCCAAGCTCGGGAGCATCTAACAAGTGTCACCTGCTTCCTACCTGGCTTGGGAAGTCCGCACGGTCTTGGATGGGCTGGCTATTACTGCCATCAGAGCCACACTAAGGCCACATGGACATGGATTTTGGGAGTTAATTTTTGGCCTAAGTTCTTTCACAGACTTCCCTGTCACTTTCCTCCATCTCTCCATTTGCCAAACGAGGTATTTGTGTTTGGCCTCTGCCAGCTGGAGTATCCAAAAGGCTTAGGACCCAGGCCATCCTCAGAGTCCTGGGGATATTATGCTGCCACCTTCTAGATCGTGAGCTTCCCTTTGTGTGTAGTAGAATTCTGTCTTCCACGTGTGTGGGCTCAGCAGTTCGCAAAGCATACCCACATGCATGGTCTTGTTCGCGACTGGTACTGGCAATGGTTCTGTAGGGAAATGAAAGGCAGATCAAGTGTTATGAGCCATCTCAGAGCGTGGGAAGTTGATGTCAGGCAGGAACAAGGACTTGTGTGGGACACCGTCGGTGGGTGATGGGGAAGGTTGGGTTTCCCAACTGCCCAGCTCGTGCTGTTCTGAGAAGGCATTGTGGTGGTGTGTGGGCTCCGAGTCAAACAGATCTGTGCCTCAGTTTTCTCATCTGTAAAATTACGATGATAGAAATACATCTGAAGACTGTTGTGAAATTTGGTAAGGGTCCATGTGACAGCCTGACAGCTGTTATGGTCACTGTCACTATATACTGGTTGTGCTGCTCAGACCCCCTCTGCCATGAGGATGACCCACAGGTGAGGCGCTCTCAGCCCCTCCAAGGGAAGCCCACATCCAGTAACTGGTTGGTTTGGGGACAGAATGGCCTGACACCCTTGCCAGGGCCACCCTCGCTCCAAACCTCCCAGCAGATGGGCAGAGCTTTGTGCTGTGACTACATCACAGTTCAACTCCATTTATGCTCTGTCCCTCCTTCTTCATGCCTCACAGGTAGGGATCCTGAGATAACTGCCCCGTAATGCCCTGCGTGCCAGGCTTGTGCCAGTCTAGCAGGAATCACAAAGGGGACAAGTTTATGAGAGGCCATCACATAGAACCCCCTCCTGGTGATCAGAGAGGCTGGCCTGGGTCAGATGTGCAGCTGTGCCTTGCAATAGACCCAGACGGCGGGACATGTGTGAAATGAGGGTCAGATGACTTCCTACCTTGTGGGGGGCTGTAAGGTTAAGCCAGCAAACCTGGGGTGCATGAGACACAGGAAACATTAGGTATGGACCTGCAAGCAGCAGCCCACCTCACAGAGTGACCCTTTTCATGTGACAACAGATACGAACACCATGGTGACAAGAAGGGCTCAGCAGACAGGTACCCCTACTGTCCCCAGGCCTAACTTTCCAGGTTTACAAAATCTGGCAGCAAACAGACATTTCTGGGGTTCCCGACCCAGCTCAGAGGCCTTGGGTGTCGCTGGTGAGCCCAGTGAGAGCAGGAAGTGAAGGCACGGGAAGTCCCCATGGTGGCAGCATCCAGGATGGCCTGCCCTGCCCCTGCCCCTACCCCTGACTTGACCTCAGGCCCTGCAGACTGAGTGAAGGATGCTGGGCCTGAGTCCAGACCCAGAGACTGGTCAGAGGGATGCAAAGGGCTCCAACAGGCCCCTCTGTGATGCTCACGGACAAGGAACCCTTCCATAGGTGAGCATAGCTGGTCCTTCCCCATGGGAGACACAGGCTTGAAAGTGACAGGACTGGAGGCAGCCATAAAGTGGGCCTGTCCCCCCTCACCCCTGTGTCCCTAGGCATTGCCATAGCAGGGCCCTGTCTCCAAGCACACGATGTACAAAGCAGTCTGCAGCTGGCCCCTGATCTAAGGTCGGGCTGGGGTGATGGCTCTGCTCAGTTTCAAGCTGAGGCCTGGAGAGCAGGAGTGCACACCTGGGGACGCGTCCCAGGACTTTCAGCAGAAGGAGCCTTTGCCCCTGCCTCCCTGTGTGTCACCCAGATGGTTCTGGGGTTCTGAGTGTCTGTTCCCTGATGGCGGGATCCTGGGGCAAGATGCGGAAGAGCCGGCTCTGAACTACAAAGAGACGAAGGGTCTTCCAGGTGAGGTGGGAAGAATGTAGCTGCCTTGTGGGCAGCCTCACACCAGATGGTGGGGAGGTAGGGGACACAGGACACCCCGTTACTCCCTAAGCCCCAAGCACATTGGCCCCATGACCCCCACCCAGGGGCCTTCACATTTGCTGTCCCCTCCACCTAGAACACTCTTCCCTTCTTTGACCTCCCTCCGGCCTCAGCTCCAATGTCATCTTCCCAAGGGGCCTTTCCCAACCAGTTTTCCTAAGACCGCACCCATACCAGGCCCCTCAGAAACATGCCACGTGTCTCCTTCCCGGCAGCTCTCACGGCCACATAAAGTTGGTTTATCCTGGTTTCCTGTCTGTCTTCCTCTTTAGGACATCAGGGACCTTGTGTGGCATACCGGGCTCAGTGAGCCTGCTGGGTCTGGACAAATTGAGGCATGCATGAACTGCTGGCAGGTCAGGGTTAGGTGGGCACACAGGTCCAGCCCCACTGGTCCAGCTCAGTCCTTCACATGTGACCTCCAGGTTTAGGCAGATTAAGAACCAGTTTGGTTTCTGGCAGCCTGAGTCACGCTCTGGCGGCAGGCGTTGAGTGTCAGGAGGAAGCACACCCAGCCTGGAGGCGCTGGGGCACAGGTACCGCCCACTGTCCTCCTTCCCGGGCAGCTGCTTGTTTGCAGCCAGGGCCTGGAAGACCTCAGGACACCTCGTGGCTGCCAGGCCTTCCCCATGGCTTCAGGTAAGCTCCCTCCACTCCTGTCTTCCATCTGAAAATGGGCAGGACAATGTCATCAGTGGTGTTTGCCAAGTGCTTTCAAACTCTGGAGAACAAGGTCCCTGGGAAATGTCATGGGTATGAACCGCTGGCTGTGTGGGAGGCCTGGCCACTGGAGGCAACAGCCATGTGGGGAGGCCACGCAGAGGCGGGGCTGGGCCAGCAGGTGACAGAGGGGGCTGGCCTGCCATGAGGAAAGTCTGGAGCTCTTAGAGTCTGCTTGTTTTCCACTGTTGGTAGAGACAAGGCGGCTGGAGAAATATTTTTAACAATGAGTGGGGAAGGACAGTGTGAGCTCACCGAGAAACACCAATAGGCCTGAGCAGCAACGGGGAGGGTGGTGGCTGTCACTAAGTAGTTCTAGCAGATGCTTGTCACATGAGAATGCAGGTGCAGGTGGCCAGGACTTGTCATTTCTCCAGAAGAGTCAGATATTCTGATTTGGTGTATGTTCTATTTTGATTGAATAAAACAATGACTTGAGCAAAGAAAATGCACAGTGTATGATTTACCGGTTGTGATCTCTAAGATCCATGTGGGCAGAGAACAGATCTTAAGGCTAGTGTCTGAACCCCATCCTCTGTAGGGTAAACTCTCTTCCGGGTGTCACCTCCTGGCTGTCAAGAGGAGGTTGACACAGGCACACCTCGTTTCATTGAGCCTTAGAGAACTGCGTTTCTTAAGAATTGAAGTTTTGTGGCAGCCCTGCATCTAGCAAGTCTATCAGCCCATTTCCCCCAGAGCATTTGCTCAGTTTGTGTCTCTGTCACTTTTTGGTAAATCTTGCAGTATTTCAAACGTTTTCATTATTATTGCCTTTGTTACAGCGACATGTGATCAATCATCTTTAATGTTACAATTGTAATTGTTTTGGGGTGCTACAAACTGTGCCCCTATTAGATGGCACACATAATCAATACATGTGTACGTGCTGAGTGCTCCTCCGACTGGCCATCCCCATGTCTCTCCCTGTCCTCGGGCCTCCTTAGTCCCTTAGTCCCTGAGACACAACCATGTTGACATCAGGCCACCTATTGACCGACGGTGGCCCCTAAGTGTCCAAGTGAAAGGGAGAGTCACATATCTGTTCCTGGTGAAAATGCTGTGAAGATTGTTAACATGACAACAAAGCACTGATAATGTCACATGAACTCAGCTGACAAAGCAGCAGCAGGTTTCCGAGGACTGCCTCCAATTCTGAGAGCAGTCCTACTGTGTGTAAAATGCTATTAATCGGCTTTGCACGCTACAGAAAAATAGTTCGTGAAAGGGAGAGTTGATCCGTGCAGCAAAGCTCATTGTTGTTTCATTTAAGAAATTGCCAGGGCCTCCCAGCCTTCAGCAACCATCCCCTGACCAGTGGGCGGCCATCGACATGGAGGCAGACCCTCCACCAGCACAAAGATGGCGACTCGCTGTAGGCTCAGATGTGGCTAGTGGTTTTAACAATAAAGTGTTTTTTAATGAAGGTATATATTGGGTTGTCGGAAAAGTCATAACGCATTTCTGCAACGAAAAGCATAGAAAAAATACGTCGTGACTTTTCCGACAACCCAATACATTGTTCTTTTAGACATAATGCCATTGCATTGTTTAGACCTAATAGGCTATGGTAGAGTGTAAACATAATGTTTATGTGCACTGGAAAACCAAACATTTGTGACATTTGCTTTACTGCAGTAGCCTGGGCGGAGCCCAAGGTGTCTGCCTACAGCAGCCATCACATCCACATGTTCCCTGCAGGTCAGGCACTCTCCTGGACTCGTCACCTGGCTCATCTCATTAGTCCTCACAACTTGCATGTGAGGAAGGACCATTATGGTTCACATTGCCAGAAGAAGACACTGGGGTGTACAGAGGTGAAGTAACTTTCCCAAGGCCATGTAGCCACTGCTTGGGGACAAGCCAGGCTTGCTGCAGGTCGTGGACACCAAACATGATCATGGTGGGCAACTCTGGTAAACCACAGCACTTATGCCACAGGCAGCACAGCCTCTCCTACCCTGTGGGTGTGTTAACATGTAGGCCATAGTCTTGTGTGTTTTTTGAATGTGTAGAGGAAGGTGCTGGAACCTGTCCCAGAATGAGCAATAAACTGTGAAGAAATCACTGTACTTAAAAAGGGTTCCTTCCAAAATACCGGCACATGGTGCTGAATAAATATGTCTGCACTTGAATTGTGATTATGTAATTGGAGGAGATTAAATACGAATGACTAAATTAAAAATGAGTTGATCAGTACTATACCTGCTACGGCCTCTTTTCTCAAATGGAAGACTTACAGTTTGGGGGCACTCTTGTATGCTCTATCTGTCTAATAAAGCAGGACACACCTCTGCTGCTAAAACGACACTGAACAGGAAAGGGACAGTAACTGTGCCTGCAATTTGCAGCACTGGCCACCAGATAGTGCCAGCACTTTTAAGGACTCATGTCACACGGTGACCATCGCAGTTTTCCAGGGGATCAGGAGTTCCTAGGATCAGCAGTAAAACTGGGAAAGTCCTAGGAAAACCAGGGCCATTAGTTACCCTAGCCTGTAAGCAGGTAGAGCTTTGTCTTTATCCCATGTAAGGTTTGAGAATCATCCTTTTTTCATGGCCAAAAATTTGAAAGCATTTATGGGATAAGTCATTGCTCTGTAAGCTGTGAACGCAAACTGAGGGGCACACCATAAGAACACATATAAATCTTGCTTCTGTGACGTGCAATGAAGCAGAGAGGAAAAGGCAGCTGCTGCTCTGGTAGGATGGACATGGGGACAGTTTCAAATCCTGCCTCTGCCAGGACTGGGGCAAGTTAGCTCTCTCTCGGAGCCTTGACTTCTTATTCTACACAGTGAGCATAAGAACTTACCCATCTCAAAAGTGGTATAAGTGTGCCCGTCCGACACAGCTTGTTACTGTTACGAGGGCCAAGTGACATCAGCATGAGAAAGCAGAACACAGGGCCCGAGCACAGCAGGTGAGACACACAGCAGTCCCTTCCCCAAGCTCCTGTCCCCGTCCTGTTTGCACAGAAGCTGCCTTATAAAGCTCACCTTCGGGGCCCAGATGGCAAGAGCAAACATGTACCTCTGGAAACATGACATGACGAGATCAAAGTGGCTTTCCAGGAAAACACACATCAAACCCAGAACCTGCTGGACCAAAAGTGTCTTGGGAGAAGCTTGGGAGGATTTACAGCTGGTTGATCACTGGGACCTGGGAGGGGAGCAAGCATCTTGGACAGCAGTGATGGTGACAGTCAGCTTTGCACAGTCTCTGCACCACCATTCACTGCAGGGCCAGGTGGTGGAGATAGCAAAGAAGATGTCTGATGGTGCTGGAGAGACAGAGTGAGTGTCCAATGGTGCCATCCCTCCCTTGTGCTCTCCCGTGTCTCAGGAAGGGTAACTGGAGCCTCTTAGTGAAAGCGTACAGTTTGCATAGCAACACAGCTGGTGTTATGTGTTGTGTGCTGCACATCCAGGCACTCAGGAGCTGGCTTAGATGTCTAAGCGTGAGTCAGCCAGTAACTGCAGAAGCAAACCTGCTGTTTTACTGACAGTTCCTGGGTGACATGGGAGGCACTGCTGGCTGTATCTGCCCTGAGATTCACTAAAAGTTCCTAATAAATGGGATTTATCCATGGGAAGTATTTTCTGTGAGGGGACAGGGTCTGTGGGTGAGATGCTGGGCTGAGGAGGAGGGAGATTGTGGTTGGGAAGTGGGACGATTTCTCTAGAAAGACTGAAGAGCAGCCAAAGCCCTCTCCCACCATGAGGAGCTGGGGCCAGTGAGATGCAACGTCCCTCCCCAGCTCTCCCCTTAATGATATCATGCTGGTGGCTTGAAATAATTCATGGTGAGTGTACTTACATCACAGAAGCCAGCAATGCCGCAGGTGGGGTGTTCTCTGGCAGTCAAGCTGTCACATGTTTGCCAGCACGCCACTGCCTGCCTTCAGGGTCATGCCTCACGCATGTGTCTACTGTGCCCAGGATGACCCTAAAACATATCTGACAGTGTCACCTGTGATTCACTTTTCTTCAAGGTAACTTCCCTGCTCCTTAGCGTGGAGTTAAGGCCCCTTGTCCTCCAGTCTGTCCCAAATGCTGCTTAACTGCAACTCCGAGAACAACAAGAGAAGACACATGCCACATCAGGTCCCAGCTCTGGCCAACTTGGTTAGGACCCACCTTCCTCCTCAGATAATGAGTAAAGCTGGACAAAACATCTCTCTAAAAAATTTGAGGGCATCAAAGCCTGATTGAGGTTTTGAGGAGCCGTGGAGGCTAGGAGGTAGAGCTAGGACTCGGGCCTTACCTGGAAGCATGGCCAGCTCCAAAGGCTGCTGCTGAGCTGGGCACAGACCCGGGGCTTGGGGATGGGCAAGAAGGGCTGTGCTGTATCTCCCCCTGAGGAGCAGGGCCTGACAGATGCCCAGGTTTGGGCTGGGACCCAGAGGACCAGGAGGGAACAGAAGAGAAGCAGCTGGCACCATCACCGAGTCACCTCTAGCCCTGCCTGGGCGAAGGGTGCCTGGGCTGCAAGGCCCAGGCCTCCCTGTCCAGCTGAGGCCAAAGCAGGTCATCTCTGAACAAAGACATCATTTGCAGCAGGCTCGAGGGATCCCCAGTGTTTTCTGTGCTGTGTCCTGCAGTTGGCAATCAGACACCCATTCACCTGAGGAAAACATGACCAGAGGAGGCCCAGTGGGGATTCAGGTGGCAGAGTGACCAGGGCAGCCTTTATGAGAACCATGAATAATAAGTTCAAGGATTTGAAAGATAAGATTGAAACTTTTGGCAGAGAACTGGAAAGTACACAAAAAAGGAACCAAATGGAAATTGCAGGACTGAAAAATGCAATTGACTGAACTTGAGGAAGAGCTGGCATTTGTGTGGGAGGCACTGGGCTGCTGAGCTCTGTGTAGACGTCAGCAGTGAAGGCTTGGATTGCCTATTGTCACTTCCAGTGTCATGTGGACACGGACAGTCTGCTTTTCCCATCCCCTTGCAAGTGGAACTTGGTCACTTCTGCTGTCACCAGTGACCAGGGCTGAGCATGGGGAGAGCACTAGCACAACTGTGATGCCTGCAGCTGGGATGGTAGGACCAGGCTTACAGGGAGGGCTGAGTCTACCGTGTGACGCGGCCATTACCCTCAGTTCAGGAAGTGGAATGAGGGGCCGACTGCCAGAGCTGAGAGTAAGTTTAGTCAGACATTTCCTGTGGGCAGAAATCATAGGGACACTAACCTTTTTAAGACGGAACCAAGAGTAGAACTGTGACAGAAAGCTTGCCCTCCCCTGCTTCATCCCCACCCCGGGGAATAAGGGTTGGAGCGTAGGGCATGGATGATTGGGTCAGGGATGTGTGGCTGGCCTCACCCACTTCACCTGGTATGAAGAGTGTGTGCAATGGCTGTCTGTTTTCTAAGTGTTTCCTGGAGGCCAAAGTCAGGGCTAAGCATACCACAAGTGGTGCCTCAGTCCTCACAGCCACCTGTGACATGGCTTCTGTTATTAGCCCCAGATAACAGATAAGAAAACTGGAACCAAGAGAGCTTCAGCACATGTTGTGGGTGGCCCAGCTCATAAATGACACAGGAGGACACAGCCCAGGTCCTGGGGACTAACGCCCGTCCCATACCCGGAAAGGCCTTTGGGCCACTTCTCAGGCACAGACATGGGAAAGGTGGGACCCCACCAGTTCTGTGTCCAGGAGAAACCTGTCTTTGAATTTGGGTTGGGGTCGGAGGACTGACCCCAGGAGCTGCACTGTGGGCAGAACCTTGACTGCTATCTCGTAAAGGACACCTCCTTCAGGCAGCCTTCCCAAACCAACAAAGACAAACAAATTGCTCCCCTGGCTCTTGAAGGTAGATATAATTTCTCACATGTGCTTCGGAGGCAGAGGACTCCGTCCTGCCTGGTCACATAGCTGTGAGGACAGAGCAGGGACACACACGGTTGAGCCATTTGCCCCTCCAAGTAAATGCTCAGGAAGGTGACTCAGTTTTTGCAGAAATGTCTCATATGCTCTGATGAAGAGCTTTTTAAAAATCTGGAAAATTCTTTGTCACCTTCTTCTTTTTGTATCTTTTATTGAGGCATAATTGACATATACCAGTTTCAGGCCAGAACATAAGTTGCCTGGCCCCACATGTAGTTACATAATTCTTTCCTGGTGATGAGAACTTTTAAGATCTACTCTCTTAGCAACTTTCAAGTATGCAGTGTAACCTTCCTCTTTGGAGGGTTTTCCCTCATTTGACACACTGATTTGTTGGCTGAAAATTGCCAGACTCATCACATTGCCTGCCGCAGGGGAAGGCCCCTGGTTGGGAGCAGGAGGCTTGGGTCCCTTCCTGGGTCTTTCTGGGTTGCCTTCCACCAGTGACAGGGTAGGATACGAGGGTGGCTGAGCTTCCACCAGTCCTGAGAAGTCACAGTCTGCTTCTGTGCTGGCATGTGCGCCCCAACACAGAGGTTCCTGGGGACAGACCCTCCCGCCTTTGTTCCTCACAGACAGCTGTGAGTTTGCCCTTCCAGCTCTCTGGGATGTAGTAAGGAAGGTGATGTTTACTCTTGTCTACTGAAGGCCAGAACTGTCTCCTTCCAGCCAACTAGCCTCGCTCCCTAGCCTCCCTTCCCTCCCTGTGAAGTGACTTGTTCAAGGCCACATGGGTGGCTGACAGCAAGTGGCAGAGGTGGAATTCAGATCCATTTCTGTTCCGGTGCTGAGTTCACTTCAATGTCCCCAAGACGTGGATGACAGGGACAGAGCTGGTGTCAAGGCCCCTCCCAGGAAGTTGGCTCAGGTGCAGAAAAGTTCAGGTAAAGCCACCACCACCGTTTGTGTAAATAAAGTCAGTGGGGCTCAGACTGCCTGTTGGTTTACAGATTGTCAACTGCATTTATGTGATGCTGAGTTGAGTAACCATGAGATCATATGGCCCACAAATCTTAAAATGTTTACCATTTGGTCCTTTTTACAGAGCGTTCACAGTCCCTGATCCAGAGTCCAGCAAGGACACAATGTGACATGAGACTGTTCCTATGTTGGGGCCCTGCCACTTGGCATATTGGGAAAGGGGACGTTATATTCAGATCTGTTTTTTAAGTCAACAGGGAGTCCCAGGACACCTGTTGGCATATGAGGGTGTCTGTTTCTCTCTGTGCTTGTCTTCCCAGGAGCTCAGTAAAGGGAAATGGAAATCTCCACTTTGGGGAAATTGCACAGGGAAAAGGGGACGGTCAGTTACAGCACCGTGTTGCGACACTCAGCAGGGCTGACCGTGACAACAGCAAGGGTTTCTCTTTTTTTGAAACGCGAGGGCATTTCCGCTCGTCAGAGTGGGGCAGGGCGGTGACAGCTGGTTGGGTTGAGTGACTATCTTCTTTATAAGCAGGTCCTGTGGGCCCGAAATGGCAGTCCTCGTAGCCTGCGTGCCACAGGATGGGGGCCCACAGGTGTCCTCCCAGCCACCTGATCTCTCTCCTCCTCTTCATGTTCCCTTCAGAGACAGCCTGCCGCCCCTCTGGGAAGAGGCTCTGCAAGGTGCAAGCCTTCAGGTAAGGATGGCCAATAAGGTGGGTCTGGGCTGCCAAGGGTCCATTATTAGAGAAAGGAGCTGCCACGTGCATTCCTCTGGGCTGGTTTACCGAATATTCCAAATGTGCAAGCCTGGCTGGCTTTGGAGACCTGGTTGACTTTCCCAGAGACCCTGGCAGCTCAGCAAGTGACAAACACGTGTCCAGGCGTCCAGCGGGGGTTTGGTCCAAGTGTGCTGGGCAAAGAAGTGGAGAGGGTACCAGGAGCAGGTGACAATTAGCAAGTCCTGTCTGTCCTGACATCTGGGAGGATCCTGCCCCCTGGGCCATCTGTGACATGGCGTTCATGATAACTCCCTGCCTGCCTTACAGGTGGTTGTGAAGATGACAATGGACAGTGCTTTGTGAACTGTCAAGTGCCCCTAAACAATTGGGTCAGGAGCTTTGGGAGATGTCACCATCACCGTCGTGAAAATGTTAGGCAGTCAGTTACAGCACCATGTTGCGACACTCAGCAGATGCCCTCTGTCCTGTTAGCCCAAGACTGAGTGTGTCTGGGTGACCTCGCCCTCTGGCCTGAGGCTGTGGGTTAGACCTGTGTACACATCTGGGCAAGTGCCCCCCGTCCCAGCTGTACATCCTGTCAGCTGGGAGCTCCAGGAGGGCTGTTCAGTCTGTCACACGGACACTCACCCAGGAAGGAAGAGTAACTACAAAGAAACTTACAGTTTGCCTGACCACCTCACTGAGCTCATAGGCTCCTTACAGGTGCTGGGCAGGTGGATGTCGGCAGCCACATATCCCAGGACAGGAGATGAGGCATAGGCCCCAGGTTGGGCTGGTGGGAGGCAGAAAGTGGAGCGTCCATACCCACCTCACAGCTGGAGGGTCCCCCCGAGAAGGAAAGATTGAGAGCCAAAACGGGCTCCTGGGCGAGCTGCACAGGAAGCTGCCCCTGCCAGGCCCAGAGCAGCCCACTGGTGGGTGGACAACAGGCTCAGGGACAGACCCCATAGTCTAGGGTTTAGTGTGAGTGACTGTAAGGTGTCTGTGCCTTGAAACTTCTATCACTGTGCTGTGGTGGCCACTAGTCTCAGGTGACTTCAATTAATAAAAATGAAATAAAATTTAAAAATTCAGATCCTCAGTTGTACCACATTTCAAGGGCTCAGCAGCTACGTGTGGCTGGTGGCTGCCTTGTGGGACAGCTGACAGGGAGCATCCTATAGCTCAGGAATCCTGAGGTCCAGCACTCATCCTGAGAACAGAGGATGGGGAGCAGGGCCGGGCTGAGCCTGTGTCCAGGCCAAGGGCCGCCCTTGGTGTCCTCCTGCCACAGGTGTACGAAACCGTCAACCCCTGGGCAGAAGGTTGGAAGCAGGCTCAGCAAAGCCTGGGGACACAGGAAGGCCTGGGATCAGCGCTGTCCATGACGGGGTCCTTTCACATTTTAGAATCTGGGATGTCAACCAGAAGACCTTCTACCTGAGGAACAACCAACTAGTTGCTGGATACCTGCAGGGACCAAACACAAACTTAGAAGGTAAGAGGTTGCTGGGTACACCGATGCTGTGGGCTGGGTCACCCTGCCTGGGAATGCATTGTAGTGGCCTCTGAGTGACATCCTGGCCACTGGAGAGCAGGGAGGGGGGAGCTTAGGCTTGGAGCTGCCACCTGCAGGCACACTGGTCCCAGGGCCACAGTCTCCTGTGCCCAGTTAGTTCGCATTCTTGTGTTCAGACTCCAGCTCCTCCCACAAGTGACACACTGCATGGGGAGGCTGGCCCTTCCCTGCTATGGGAGGTCCAGAGACTATGGGGGCGAGATGGTTCAGAGCCACCAAGCCCTGGGGCCCACTTGTGACCTCGTGTGCCAATCCCTTGCTCAAGGGCAGCACAACTGTTGACCTGGAGCTCGGGTACAGGGGCAGGTGGGGGCGGCTAGGTGGCATGCCTTGCTCAATAATTAATTTGATGGGACCTTGCTGTTCTTATGACCAGGGTTCAGTTAGGGGGACAGGAAACCCCAGGGGGAGTCCAGGTTCTCCCCTCCCCCACTACCCCCTTGCTCTCTGCAAACTGACCCTCTGCTCTGCTCTTCCCCAGAGAAGATAGACGTGCTGCCAGTGGAGCCCCATGCTGTGTTCCTGGGGATCCATGGTGGGAAACTGTGCCTATCCTGTGTCAAGGCTGGTGATGAGATCAGGCTCCAGCTGGAGGTAAGGACCTGCCCAGACAGCAACCTCCTTACATTCTTCCTGTGATTCAGTGGGTTGACTGCAACCAGCTGGGCACTTCTGCTCCACGTGGGGAGATGAGGCCACTCTTGCTGCTGCTCTCAGTGGGCTTGGCTGGCTCTGGGGTGTCTGGATGGTTCCACATGGTCACCCAGAGTTCAGTGGTCAGCTTAAGCTTCTCTATGGCGTGGCTGCTGGCTGCCAAGAGGGATTATCCCCAAAACACAAGCACTTATGAAACATCTGCTTGCCTCATACCACTAACGTCCCCTTAGCCAGAGCCCATGTCACATGGCTGAGTCTAGTCTCAGTGCGGAAGGGGACTATACAGAGGTCAGCACTAGGAGGCTCATTTGGGGACCTCCATCTCTGCGTGCCACTCTCTTTGACCAAATGCCCCCCCACCCCACATGCATGTTCCTGCTTCCAGTGAAGCCCCCTGTCCAGTACCTCTGTCCCTCAGTCCTTGTCTGATCAGACCTGTGGGCCAGCACCCCTTGGTCCTGTGCAGCATTAAGAGGTTGCCAGCCCTGGGAAGAGATGGCTTTGTCTCAGGAGCTTGTTGGACAAAATCTTAACCCAAATGTGAACCGTAACCCACAGTGGCCAAAACTGTGGCATTGTCACTTCGCGCTGCTACTGGGCAGGGCATCTCTTTTTAGAGGACTGCCTGCTGGTGTGGAATAGGGCTGAGGACAAGTGTACTGAGATACTCTCTGCCCGCCTCCACTGCCCCCTGTTCGAGGTGCGGACTCCAGCACAGCTCAGCCTCCCCAGGCTGGGGCCTTCTCTTGTGCAATCATGTGCTCACCAGACTCACCAACCCCTGGCGAGGGTGGCCAGGCCTTCCCAAGCCAACCTGTGATTATGGGGCAGCCTCTTTGTGGGGCTGCTCTCTGAAGAGGCCTGGCATGTGTGCTCTCTGGCAGGGGTCCTCGGGTCAGCCTTTGCCCCATCAAGAGGGCCCCAGAGTGGGGTGGATGGTGGTGGCACGGTAAACCTCACCTGCTGGTCCCTGGCCCCCAGGCTGTTGACATCACTGACCTGAGCAAGACCCAGGAGCAGGGCAAACGCTTCACATTCATCCGCTCGGACAGCGGCCCCACTACCAGCTTCGAGTCAGCTGCCTGTCCTGGCTGGTTCCTGTGCACGCAGCTGGAGGCCGATAGGCCCGTCAGCCTCACCAACAAGCCTGGGGAGGCTGTCATCGTCACCAAGTTCTACTTCCAGCAGGACTAGTGATTTTGCCGTACTCCCACCCGGGTCCCCAGCTGTCATGGGCTCTGAGAGGCAGCCTCAGCAGGCGGACCCTCAGAAGGGGCTCCAGGGTCCTGGTATCAGGACTGTTGTCCCCAGTCCCCTCAGCTCCCTGACCTCCATCTGCTCCGCAGTGGTCTTTCTATAGTGCAGCTCAAAGCACCTCAATGTCATCTGTCCTTCCGGGTGACACCCAGGCCACCTGACCAGCCTTCTCGCCTCTCCTGGCTGCTTCCCCACCCCTGCCCCACTGTCTGTGTCACTAGCTCACCTTCCACTACACAGCTCCCAAACCTTGTTTTGCAAACCACAGGGAAGCAGCATTTCCAGGGTCTGTGGCAAAATGGAAAATAAGGATTTCATGATGTTTTTTTAAAAGCCCATTTTATTCAATTTGAAGGAAAATTCTTTACTTGGACATGGTGTCCTTCCTGGAAAAGGGAAGGGGATCAAAATATCCCTGCATTTGTGAAATGGTGGTGAAAGTCAGTTTTCTTTTTTCTTTCTTTTCTTTGTTTTTGTAATGCCCTAACCTGTAAAACTGAAAAGTTAACAGACCATGTTGATCCCTCATTTTTTGTTTCTGAAATGTTCCTGAAGTCTGGACCCCGCTGCCCAGGCCCTGAGCACTGTCTCCCCTCCAGACCTGCCATAGCTGCTGGCAGAGTCCCCCCAGGTCCCAGGCCCCAAGGTATAGCAGCTGCTGTCTCCCCCTGCCCCTGTCCCCCAATCTCCCAAGGAGTGACTGGCTCATTGGCCATTTCAGCACTTCTGACACTGAAGCTTATTTGACAGATGTGTATATGTTTGTCTGTCTGCCCCCAGCCTGGAGCAGAGATGTGACCCCATGTGTCTCAGGTCCCTGTAGGGCGGAACACGTTCCTGGCCCTTAGCAGGTGCTCATGGGGGTGTGTTGTGTGTGAGTGGAAAGTTTCCTGCTCCCTGTGACTCAAGCTCTGTTTTACAATAAAGCTTTGAAAACACACCTCCGTTGCCAGCTATGTCCATGGCCCCAGGCTCGGGGCAGTGAATACTGGGGAACGGGGAGGTCGAAGGCTCCCTCACCTTGGCCAGGCTGGGCACCAGTCCTCTGGGCTTGTGCCTCTTGGAGCTTTGCTGTCCCCAGACATATGAGAGCACATCTCCCTGCAGGAAGACGTGTAGCAGCATTGTCTCCAAACTAGAGACACCCCAAGGCCCCGTCACAGGAGAGGGAGTGCCTGTAGTCGCGTGTGTTAACACAGTGCAGCTCAACAACAGACACAGGGAGCCCCAGCTGGTGGTGTGCAGCAAAGCAGGGTTCTCACCCACAGAGGCAGAGAGCACAAATGAGCACAATTGATGGGACAAACACAAGGACTAAGAACGTGTCCTCCCGGAAGGCCGGTGGCAGCGATTGCAGGACATGGAGGGTCTGGCAGGGGCACAGACTGTCAGCATACTGCACGTTAGTATGGGCATGGCACTTTCCTGTGTGAGCTGTATTTCAAATTCTAAAATATTTCACAAATGAAAAGGCTGCTCCTGGGCTGTGGGGGGAGAAGCATCTGGAAAACAATGGGGTTGGCAGGGGACATTGCATCTGGTCCCATGAGGTGGGTGAGTGAGTCTGCAGGAACCACTGGTCATCAGATGTCTCTCCACTGATAGCTTGGTAAGCGGGATGCTGTCCACCCTCCTGCCCAGAGTCCCAGAGTCAGGCCCCCGGGGCCACAAGCCTCCCTGAGATCCTGGCAGCAGGGCTTCTTTCCATCAGACACTTCATGTGATGAGGTTGCTGGGTCACTTACAGGTAAGTTCCAGGCTCTGGGACTCTAGAGCCACTTCCTGTTTGCACATATGCTCCGGAACGAGACCAAGCCAGGGAGACTCGACTTCCTCATTACTGAATGCAGGTAACAGCTGGTGCAAAGGGCCAGGTTACCTCACTGAATCTTTGCAGTAACTTCCTGCTGGGCACTAACATTATTTTCACTGTCATTGGTCCTAGAAGAGTCAGAGCTCAAATGAATGTGCTCCAAAGCCTGGCTGCTTTAAACGAGGTCCCCAGACCAGCAGCAGCATGTAGAACTTCAGGCCTCTTGCCAGACTCACCAACTTGCCAGGTGGTTCCAGCTCCCTGAGGATGTGACACCTCCCCCAGTGCCTTCTGGCTGGGGAACGAACGTGTTCTTCAGGATAGGATGCCTGCACACCACATGCCCGGGTTCTCATGTTTTATTTTGTGATGCATTGTGCGCTCCCAGATCAATGCTCTGTGTCTGCTGGGTGCTAAGGAGATATTTGGTGACTAAATGAATTGACCACTGACATATCAACAGGGGATAATGTCTTACCTGGGTCAGGAAATTTGAGAAAATGGGGACTCGGGCTAGCAGAATTTTGAAAGGGCTTAGAGAAAGGTACAGGCCCAGGTGTGGGGAGTTTCCAGGGTTCAGGGCTCTCAAGGAAGAAGATATGAGCACAAGCCGGCCGTGGCACGCGCAGGCTTTGCTGGGTGATGCAATGGGGAGTCCTCACAGCAGGAGTCTGTGCAGAGGCCACTCAGTGGTAGTTGTTGCTCAAGAGAGGGACAAGGAGCTGGGGGAGCAGGATAGGAAGGGGGCTCGTGTCTGGTGATGCACTCAGCAGCACAGTGGGCGTCTTGGGGACAGAGAGCACCAAAGGACAGCAGAGCTGGGGTGGTTGTGGCCTGGGCTTATCCATGGCTGGCAGATGTCAGGTATGCAAAGCAGGCAGGCAGGATCTAAAGGCTAAAAATATGATCATTTGGATGATTTTCAAAATAATGGATGTGGACACATTTGAATTTGGCATTTAGTAGACTGCTGAGCCTGCTGTGAAGACATCAACCCCCCAGGACCGGTATGCAGAGGCCACCTTTGGATCCTTGACAGAACTCAGGGCCTGGGATATAGTTGAGGGGGCGTGGCCTAGGCAAGACATCCATAGTATTCAGAGGCAGTGTGCAAGGAGGCGAGAGGTGGGGGCTTAGGTGGGAGAGAAGCACAGAGGGAAGGAGGACAGACACTGGGAGGGACGTGGCCTACAACTCAAGGACTGAGGTCAGGTCCTCCCAGCTGCTCCCTCAGCGCGAACCCACTGGAGCTCATGCGGGAGCAAAGGAGGGAGATGGCCCCCCACCTTGGAAAAACACTCCACCAGGTCACGGCTTATTCCACTGATATTTTAATTTGGGTTGATGGTAAGAGAAGTTTTCTGCTTTTTCAGTCACAAGGCTGGTTAACACACACTTCGAGCTTCACTTTTTCTTTTTTGGCACAAATTGTGCTCTAATAGCTGGTGTTGAGTTGGGGTAAAATTCTTGCAAATCTTGGGGAAAACAAATAATTTTGTGGTTTCCCCTCATATAACTATGAAATCTCTAAGCCATAGCGGCAAAACTCAACATTCTTGATATTAAGCCCAGCACTCAGAAAAGCTTGGAGAGATAGTGAAACACATCTGTGGGGTTCTCAGCCCTAAATGGGAAAAGCTTAAATAGAGTGACGTTCAGCTTCCAAAAGATCCTGTGGCCTCTGGGTCTCCTGGAGCAGCAAGTGTGAGGAAGTAAAAGAGCAGTTCAAGAAATGACCACCAGGGGCCAGCATCTTCCTGACAATAATCCACATATCTGCCTTTATCTCTGCTCCATGGGGCCTGTGCCTGGGTGACTGACATGTGGAATTACCCCTACATGCATGTCTGGGGGAACCTTTGTCCCAGGCCTTCCACCACTTCTCTCCTCCCCTTCTTGATCGGTGTCTGCGACAAGGACAATCTCCCCCAGATAATTCCCAAGCCTACATTCTCAAGGTGTGCCAGTGGGCTCCAAGACATAGTTCCTCAGCTCAGTAACCCTAGGTGGCTGCTGTGTCCCCAAATAGCACTCAATGCTGCCCCTGAATCCCCGGTGAAAAGCTTAGACTGGGAGCCTGTTTCAGTGAGACACACACTATCAGCAGAGGCAACACTGCTAGCAAGTGAGTCCCACCAATTAGGGAAGAAACACGGAAGTGGTGTGTGGAGATGTGCCCCCTTGCCTCCTGTCCATGCCATCCGCACCATCTACATAGTCTACCTTGTCACGCCGTCCATACCACTCACCCTGTCCACACTGTCCATTCCACTCACACTGTCCATTCCATTCACACTGTCCATACCACTCACCCTGTCCATACCACTCAACACTGTCCATTCCACTCACACTGTCCATTCCACTCA